GCTGTGGTCGAGTCTCACGCCCGGCCAGAGTATAAGGGTAGTGTGGCTGTGGTCGAGTCTCACGCTCGGCCAGGGTATAAGGGTAGTGTGGCTGTGGTCGAGTCTCTCGCCCGGCCAGGGTATAAGGGTAGTGTGGCTGTGGTCGAGTCTCACGCTCGGCCAGGGTATAAGGGTAGTGTGGCTGTGGTCGAGTCTCACGCTCGGCCAGGGTATAAGGGTAGTGTGGCTGTGGTCGAGTCTCACGCTCTGCCAGGGTATAAGGGTAGTGTGGCTGTGGTCGAGTCTCACGCCCGGCCAGGGTATAAGGGTAGTGTGGCTGTGGTCGAGTCTCACGCTCGGCCAGGGTATAAGGGTAGTGTGGCTGTGGTCGAGTCTCTCGCCCGGCCAGGGTGTAAGGGTAGTGTGGCTGTGGTCGAGTCTCACGCTCGGCCAGGGTATAAGGGTAGTGTGGCTGTGGTCGAGTCTCACGCTCGGCCAGGGTATAAGGGTAGTGTGGTGTGGTCGAGTTTCTCGCTCGGCCAGGGTATAAGGGTCGTGTGGCTGTGGTCGAGTCTCTCGCTCAGCCCGGGTATAAGGGTCGTGTGGCTGTGGTCGAGTCTTTCGCTCAGCCAGGGTATAAGGGTAGTGTGGCTGTGGTCGAGTCTCTCGCTCATCCGGGGTATAAGGGTAGTGTGGCTGTGGTCGAGTCTCTCGCTCAGCCAGGGTAAAAGGGTAGTGTGGCTGTGGTCGAGTCTCACGCCCGGCCAGGGTATAAGGGTAGTGTGGCTGTGGTCGAGTCTCACGCCCGGCCATGGTATAAGGGTCGTGTGGCTGTGGTTGAGTCTCTCGCTCGGCCAGGGTATAAGGGTAGTGTGGCTGTGGTCGAGTCTCACGCCCGGCCAGGGTATAAGGGTAGTGTGGCTGTGGTCGAGTCTCACGCTCGGCCAGGGTATAAGGGTAGTGTGGCTGTGGTCGAGTCTCTCGCCCGGCCAGGGTATAAGGGTAGTGTGGCTGTGGTCGAGTCTCACGCTCGGCCAGGGTATAAGGGTAGTGTGGCTGTGGTCGAGTCTCACGCTCGGCCAGGGTATAAGGGTAGTGTGGCTGTGGTCGAGTCTCTCGCTCGGCCAGGGTATAAGGGTAGTGTGGCTGTGGTCGAGTCTCACGCTCGGCCAGGGTATAAGGGTAGTGTGGCTGTGGTCGAGTCTCACGCCCGGCCAGGGTATAAGGGTAGTGTGGCTGTGGTCGAGTCTCTCGCTCAGCCAGGGTATAAGGGTAGTGTGGCTGTGGTCGAGTCTCACGCCCGGCCAGGGTATAAGGGTAGTGTGGCTGTGGTCGAGTCTCTCGCTCGGCCAGGGTATAAGGGTAGTGTGGCTGTGGTCGAGTCTCTCGCCCGGCAAGGGTGTAAGGGTAGTGTGGCTGTGGTCGAGTCTCACGCTCGGCCAGGGTATAAGGGTAGTGTGGCTGTGGTCGAGTCTCACGCTCGGCCAGGGTATAAGGGTAGTGTGGTGTGGTCGAGTTTCTCGCTCGGCCAGGGTATAAGGGTCGTGTGGCTGTGGTCGAGTCTCTCGCTCAGCCCGGGTATAAGGGTCGTGTGGCTGTGGTCGAGTCTTTCGCTCAGCCAGGGTATAAGGGTAGTGTGGCTGTGGTCGAGTCTCACGCTCGGCCAGGGTATAAGGGTAGTGTGGCTGTGGTCGAGTCTCACGCCCGGCCAGGGTATAAGGGTAGTGTGGCTGTGGTCGAGTCTCACGCCCGGCCAGGGTATAAGGGTCGTGTGGCTGTGGTCGAGTCTCTCGCTCGGCCAGGGTATAAGGGTAGTGTGGCTGTGGTCGAGTCTCACGCCCGGCCATGGTATAAGGGTCGTGTGGCTGTGGTCGAGTCTCACGCCCGGCCAGGGTATAAGGGTAGTGTGGCTGTGGTCGAGTCTCACGCTCGGCCAGGGTATAAGGGTAGTGTGGCTGTGGTCGAGTCTCACGCCCGGCCAGGGTATAAGGGTAGTGTGGCTGTGGTCGAGTCTCACGCTCGGCCAGGGTATAAGGGTAGTGTGGCTGTGGTCGAGTCTCTCGCCCGACCAGGGTATAAGGGTAGTGTGGCTGTGGACGAGTCTCACGCTCGGCCAGGGTATAAGGGTAGTGTAGCTGTGGTCGAGTCTCACGCTCGGCCAGGGTATAAGGGTAGTGTAGCTGTGGTCGAGTCTCTCGCTCAGCCAGGGTATAAGGGTAGTGTGGCTGTGGTCGAGTCTCACGCCCGGCCATGGTATAAGGGTAGTGTGGCTGTGGTCGAGTCTCTCGCTCGGCCAAGGTATAAGGGTAGTGTGGCTGTGGTCGAGTCTCTCGCCCGGCAAGGGTGTAAGGGTAGTGTGGCTGTGGTCGAGTCTCACGCTCGGCCAGGGTATAAGGGTAGTGTGGCTGTGGTCGAGTCTCACGCTCGGCCAGGGTATAAGGGTAGTGTGGCTGTAGTCGAGTCTCACGCTCGGCCAGGGTATAAGGGTAGTGTGGCTGTGGTCGAGTCTCACGCTCGGCCAGGGTATAAGGGTAGTGTGGCTGTGGTCGAGTCTCTCGCCTGGAAGGGTATAAGGGTCGGGTTTTTTGCTTGTCTACTCCCGATGATCAATTGAGGGGATAGAAGTAGGACTGAGCAAGAAGTCATCATTTTAATTTCAAGAATTTACTATATATACTGTAAGACCTGAATTTGAATAACTAATATTAATCTCCTACCTCTTGGAATGGACAGTAGAGCGACGGTCTCGCTTCTTGCAGGTCGGCGTTCAATCCCCGACTGTTCAAGTGGTTGGGCATCATTTACTTCCCCCGTCCCATCCCAAATCCTTATCCTGACTCCTCCCTAGTGTTATATAGTCGTAATGGCTTGGCGCTTTACCCTGATACTTTCCTCCCTCTTTCCCGATAGTTCCCTGCCCCCCCCTAGGGTTTGGAAGTGAGGGGGGGGGGATGCATCAGTTTCGATAGATTCTCTGGATAGGCGCACATTGACCCCCTCCCTCCCCCCCCCCACAGTGTGGGAGTGTGTTCCAACAAATAAATTCAATACAGTACAAATACATTGACGAAATAATCACATCACATATATTCTCCCACACATGGGGACGACTTTGTTAAAACTGGGTGGAAGTGGGCAGTCCACAGTGTAGTCAGCTAGTGGTCCACAGTGTAGTCAGCCAGTGGTCCACAGTGTAGTCAGCCAGTGGTCCACAGTGTAGTCAGCCAGTGGTCCACAGTGTAGTCAGCCAGTGGTCCACAGTGTAGTCAGCCAGTGGTCCACAGTGTAGTCAGCCAGTGGTCCACAGTGTAGTCAGCCAGTGGTCCACAGTGTAGTCAGCCAGTGGTCCACAGTGTAGTCAGCCGGTGGTCCACAGTGTAGTCAGCCAGTGGTCCACAGTGTAGTCAGCCGGTGGTCCACAGTGTAGTCAGCCAGTGGTCCACAGTGTAGTCAGCCGGTGGTCCACAGTGAAGTCAGCCGGTGGTCCACAGTGTAGTCAGCCAGTGGTCCACAGTGTAGTCAGCCGGTGGTCTACAGTGTAGTCAGCCGGTGGTCCACAGTGTAGTCAGCCGGTGGTCCATAGTGAAGTCAGCCGGTGGTCCACATCAGTGTAGTCAGCCGGTGGTCCACAGTGAAGTCAGCCAGTGGTTCACAGTGTAGTCAGCCAGTGGTCCACAGTGTAGTCAGTCAGTGGTCCACAGTGTAGTCAGCCAGTGGTTCACAGTGTAGTCAGCCAGTGGTCCACAGTGTAGTCAGCCAGTGGTCCACAGTGTAGTCAGCCAGTGGTCCACAGTGTAGTCAGCCAGTGGTCCACAGTGTAGTCAGCCGGTGGTCCACAGTGTAGTCAGCCAGTGGTCCACAGTGTAGTCAGCCGGTGGTCCACAGTGTAGTCAGCCGGTGGTCCACAGTGTAGTCAGCCGGTGGTCCACAGTGTAGTCAGCCAGTGGTCCACAGTGTAGTCAGCCAGTGGTCCACAGTGTAGCCAGCCAGTGGTCCACAGTGTAGTCAGCCAGTGGTCCACAGTGTTGTCAGCCAGTGGTCCACAGTGTAGTCAGCTAGTGGTCCACAGTGTGGTCAGCCGGTGGTCCACAGTGTAGCCAGCCGGTGGTCCACAGTGTAGCCAGCCAGTGGTCCACAGTGTAGTCAGCCAGTGGTCCACAGTGTAGTCAGCTAGTGGTCCACAGTGTAGTCAGCCAGTGGTCCACAGTGTAGTCAGCTAGTGGTCCACAGTGTGGTCAGCCAGTGGTCCACAGTGTGGTCAGCCAGTGGTCCACAGTGTAGTCAGCCGGTGGTCCACAGTGTAGTCAGCCAGTGGTCCACAGTGTAGTCAGCTAGTGGTCCACAGTGTGGTCAGCCGGTGGTCCACAGTGTAGTCAGCCAGTGGTCCACAGTGTAGTCAGCTAGTGGTCCACAGTGTGGTCAGCCAGTGGTCCACAGTGTGGTCAGCCAGTGGTCCACAGTGTGGTCAGCCAGTGGTCCACAGTGTAGTCAGCCAGTGGTCCACAGTGTAGTCAGCCAGTGGTCCACAGTGTAGTCAGCCAGTGGTCCACAGTGTAGTCAGCCAGTGGTCCACAGTGTAGTCAGCCAGTGGTCCACAGTGTAGTCAGCCAGTGGTCCACAGTGTAGTCAGCCAGTGGTCCACAGTGTAGTCAGCCAGTGGTCCACAGTGTAGTCAGCAGGTGTTAAGAAGCTAGTTACTTTGGGACTCCTGTGAGGTTTTCCAACTTTCTCCATCTATTTCACAATTTCCCTAAATATTATCGACAGCTTTCTAATTACCCCCTGCTCTTTCCCTACTATTTACCCATCCCTGGTGCCTCTACACTATGCATCTACTCCACTGGCCTCTTCGTTTCCTCCCCCTAAACACCTCTCTCCCTCCTTCCCTCCTTCCCTTCCTCCCTCCCCAATACCTTTCCCAGGACACACCCCCAACAACCTCCTTCATCCCAACCCCACCCATTCCACCCCTCTGGAACTCCCAAGCACCCATCTCAAGGGACTAACGGAAGTATACTCACAGGCGATTGATGTTGTCCTCAATGTCTGGGAAGTACTTGAGTGCGAGGCCTGAGCAGTTGGCCTCCAGGTGGTAGCACTGGCACTCTGGCACCTTCCTCGAGCACTGAAACGCTGCAGTAACCAGAAACAAAGTACAAAATTAGTCATCGACACGCTTATGTTAAATTCTGAAATGTGAATATATGTGAATATACCATTTATAATATTAGAAGATACTTCCAGGTTGATGGGCCAGACCAAACCTCCCCCCTCCATGGCATGACCGTCCCATTATACCCATCCGTCACCCTGCAAAATTTAATGTGCTAGCCATTTGCGTCTCGTCTGCAACCCTGGACAGACAAACACACAGACTGCCTTTTCTATAGATATGGATTAAACTGATGAAGGTAACATTACTGTCATCTCTCTCCAGAGATAACATATGCTAACCTAACTACATACTAAACGACTCTCACCCACTCCTTTTTGTGTCACGACTTGATATGGTTCCTGGACGAACAGAGCTGTTTATACTTTCCTGAAGCGTGTGCGTTGTGTCACACGTTGTCACATGTTGTGACATGGTGTGTCAACATGTTTCATGTTGGAGCACCGTGACCGGGCCGCGGGGACGCTAAGCCCCGAAATCATCTCAAGATAAGAGATCTCAAGATAACCGTTGTTGGGACTCGTTCTTCTCCACGACAGTTCACTCATAATGGTTCCCATTAGAGAATAAAATAAATAGTTCCTAGACAACAATTTCCTTATTACCAGGAATGTCAATAAGAGGAACACTTAGCCACCTGGCAGCGTTTCGAACGACCTGCGCTCACAGCTAGTAGAGACAAGCACCAGGAAATGACAGTAACATAATAAATCTATGAAACACTTGTTGGAGCAGTGAGTGGCATTGTCTTGGGTCCTGCACTCTTCCATCTCCACACCACCACCTTCCTCTCCATGCATCCACACCTATCTCTCTCCACCATCACTAACCCAGTTTACATATACCTCGATCACTCTAACCAAATGTTTACACTTCAAACTCATGTCTGTTTTTTTATTAACCCATTTAGGTACATCTACTAATAAAAATAATAATTTATTCACAACAAGGTACAATGGGTTAGTGAGATTACATAAGAATAGGGTTTTTACAGTCTTGTAAAACCATTAACCCGCATAGCGTTATGGGCAGGGAACAAATTCGTTCGGGCACAAATCTGCATTTGTGCAGCTGCCCTAAACTATTTGAAGGGGAGCACAGAGTGTTTCAAGAACTAGCTACGTGATGCTAAAAATCCCCATTACACTAGATAGTTAGTCATACAGGACCATGAGATCAGTAGCCTGCACTGGCAAACTCTGGGTGCGTTATGAGGATATCTTCAAGAACACGAGGGTGAATAAAGTAATTACAAAGCTCCAGGTTCCTCATGCCAACGGTTCTGAAAGGTCTAATAACTGGGCATTCAGGGATGTAGTGTGGGGAGATCATGACCCAGTTCCTGCTCACAGAGATTGCACCTAGAGTGCTCAGGATTAAGAGATCCGTCACTTGTAGCCACCTGCCACAGATAACGGTAACCCAACCTGATCCTGGCAACCACTGTGTCGCCAAGTCTGGTGGACGTTTTGTGCGGGTCATAAACATTGGTTCCAGGTCTGAACAAATCACAACTTTATATGCTGGTGTTCTTGAATAGAAATGGTGAAGTCTACGGACTCAGGGCTGAGCATTTTGTATCCACAGACCTCTTGATGGAGGGAACTTGGGAAGGTGTCCTTCATCAGGAGAGCACTGGACCGACCCCAGCCATCCTTGAGACTCTCCTGACCAAATCATCACTAATCCTTTACAAATTAATGCGTCTAGCCCCAAGCATCTGTCTTCCAGCCACGAACAGACAAATAGGCATTATCTCTTATAGATACAGATTAATGGGGGGTTATCAAGCAGTCCTCGGTTCTCCGTCCATTTGTCTTCCCCCTTTCCCATCTTCTGCCCCCCCCCCCTTACTTCCATTCCCCCTCCCTCTCACTCTTCTATTCTCTCATTGTACCTCCCGTTCTCTCTCCTAGTGGGCCAACCATGTTCGAGTAACGTTGAATCAACGTCATCGACACTGATTCAACGTCGTTGACAGAGGTGAAATAAATTGGAAGACGCTAATGACAATGAAGCCAACATGTCAAGTCAGTTGGAGCCAATCCTACTTAAAAACGGGCATGTCAGTCGACGCCAACCACTTTATAACAGACACCATAGAATCACAATTCACAACGGAAAATTGACGGAGATTAACTGGAACCATCATCCCTTCAACCTCGAACTGAGAGTCAGACAGACAGACATTCTCCCATGGATATAGCTGCACACTTTCACACACACTCTTCGTACATGTTCATGTTCCATACTACTGTACACACTCAGAACCTCTGAAGGATATGAAGATCCTGGGAGCAGTTTACACTACATAAAGCAGCGATGGAGTTTTGGCCGCAGGTAGTACTGTCCTCCCCTCGTTCTCTCCCCTGTGCGTGTGGAGACAGAACACGCACTCACGTGTGCCTTGTGCTCTTTTTGAGAGCGAGTCCGTTCTGAGCAGCGCGAGGCATTGTTGGGCTGACAACCCCTGCTGTTGCAACATGATCTTTTTTGACGACACTTTTCAGGCAATACTGGGACAATGGCAGGACTAAACACGTGCGTTTATGGTTTCTTCCTGACTTCACTAAATACTTGTTGTGACTGTTCATCACGGCTACGTCCACGAGGTGAACAAATATTTCTTTAGTCCACTTGATACTGGACTAAGAGAATATTTTTTCCTTCATCCAGTATCACTTTGTCCAGTTTTTTCCTTTTGTTTGTATCCTTTTTTTTATTTTGTTCAGTATGTATATTTGTACACATTCCTCAACGCCAAACATTATGTCACATTTATCAACCAAGCGAATATTTATATAATAGTCCATCACAAAATTTAGTTGATATATTTTACCTTTTGTTGTTTAGTTGACCTTGCCACTGTCTACCATCTGACCGGTGTAAATAACTGTCAACTATTCACTTCGTGCCTGTGCTTCCTGTGCATTACTGACACTCTGTCGCTCACAGTTGACATTCATCTCTTGAAATACTTGGATCAAACATGAGCAGTTGCTCTCCTTCGTGACCTTACTGTGACATAGACACTATTGTTGTGCTCAAGCAGGAACCCAGCTGCTGCAGTGGTGGAGTAAACTAGGGGCATGGTGGCAGTGGTGGAGTTAACCATGACCATGGTAGCAGTGGTGGAGTAAACCAGGACCATGGCGGCAGTGGTAGAGTAAACCAGGATCATGGTGGCAGTGGTGGAGTATACCATGACCATGGTGGCAGTGTTGGAGTAAACCAGGACCATGGTGGCAGTCGTGGAGTAAACCAGGACCACGGTGGCAGTGGTGGAGTAAACCAGGATCATGGTGGCAGTGGTAGAGTAAACCAAGGCCATAGTGGCAGTGGTGGAGTAAACCATGACCATGGTGGCAGTGTTGGAGCAAACCAGGGCTATGGTGGCACTGTTGGAGTAAACCAGGGTCATGGTGGCAGTGTTGGAGTAATCCAGGACCATGGTGGCAGTGTTGGAGTAAACCAGGGCCATGGTGGCAGTGTTGTAGTAAACCAGGGCCATGGTGGCAGTGTTGGAGTAAACCAGAGCCATGGTGGCAGTGTTGGAGTAAACCATGAGAATGGTGGCAGTGTTGGAGTAAACCATGAGAATGGTGGCAGTGTTGGAGTAAACCAGGGTCATGGTGGTAGTGTTGGAGTAAACCATGACCATGGTGGTAGTGTTGGAGTAAACCAGGAGAATGGTGGTAGTGTTGGAGTAAACCATGAGAATGGTGGTAGTGTTGGAGTAAACCAGAGCCATGGTGGCAGTGTTGGAGTAAACCATGAGAATGGTGGCAGTGTTGGAGTAAACCATGAGAATGGTGGCAGTGTTGGAGTAAACCATGACCATGGTTTAAGGGTAAGAACGAAAAGGCAATGTAAAGGATCTGGGTGTACTCATGTCAGAAGACCTTACCTTTAAAGAACACAATAAAGTAGCCGTCACAACTGCAAGAAAAATGACAGGTTGGATAACAAGAATTTTTCACACTAGAGATGCTATACCGATGATGATACTTTTCAAAACGCTTGTGCTCTCTAGAGTGGAGTACTGCTGCACAATGACAGCCCCTTTCAAAGCTGGAGAAATTGCTGACCTGGAGAGCGTGCAGAGATCCTTTACTGCTAGAATCCACTCAGTAAAACATCTAAACTATTGGGACCGACTAAAGAGCCTAAATCTGTACTCCCTTGAGCGCAGGCGGGAGAGATACATAATAATTTACACGTGGAAAATATCAGAGGGGCTGGTCCCAAACCTGCACACAGAAATAACATCACATGAGACCAGAAGACATGGCAGGATGTGCAGAATACCCCCGTTGAAAAGCAGAGGTGCAACAGGTTCTCTGAGAGAGAACTCTATCAACATCAGAGGCCCGAGACTGTTCAACACGCTTCCACTACACATAAGGGACATAACTGGCCGACCCCTCACACTGTTAAAGAGAGAACTGGATAAGCACCTCCAATGGATACCTGATCAACCAGGCTGTGACTCATACGTCAGGCTGCGAGCAGCCGCGTCCAACAGCCTGGTTGATCAGTCCAGCAACCAGGAGGCCTGGTCGACGACCGGGCCGCGGGGACGCTAAGCCCCGGAAGCACCTCAAGGTAACCTCAAAGTATGGTGACAGTGTTGGAGTACACCAGGACAATGGTGGCAGTGTTGGAGTAAACTAGGGCCATGGTGGCAGTGTTGGAGTAAACTAGGGCCATTGTGGCAGTAATGGAGTTAACATGGGACATGGTGGCAGTTTTGGAGTAAACCATGAAAATGGTGGCAGTAATGGAGTACACCAGGACCATGGTGGCAGTGTTGGAGTAAACCAGGACCATTGTGGCAGTGTTGGAGTAAACCAGGACCATGGTGGCCGTGGAGGAGTAAACCATGGTCATGGTGGCAGTGGTGGAGTAAAGCAGGGCCATGGTGGCAGTGGTGGAGTAAACTAGAACCATGGTGGCAGTG